TATAGAAATATACGGTGAGACTGTCCGGATCAAAAACCCGACTCAAGACAAGACTTTCGGACCACACAAAGTCCTTCCACATAAATGTGTTTCAAAAATGTGATGTGACCAGAATAAATAATTATAATATATTGTGCTCAAGTCCCTAATTGGGACTTATTTGTGTTAACACAAACACATCAAAATGTGCCACAAAGTAAATAACACAATGTGCTGCAAAAGACTCTACTAAGCCACAAAATATGTGCCACCACAAAATAACAACAATAAACTGCAAATGTGAAATCTTCAAACAGCTGAATAAACTGAAAAATTCCACGGTAATACAGGTGATACAGGTGTAAAAAATGGGATCCATCACCGGCTGGATTGCCCCCTCACCTTCATGTAGCGACCCCAAGGGGCCAATAAGCCTTCAAAATATAAGATACAGCAATACAGCCAATCAGCAGGTACTTTTTTAAAATATATTCTTCAGATTTTTTTTTAACCACTTCCAGTCCGGACACTTTTACCCCCCTTCCTGTCCAGGCCAATTTTCAGCTTTCAGCGCTATCACACTTTGAATGACAATTGCGCGGTCATGCAACACTGTACCCATATGAATTTTTTAGCATTTTTTTGAGACAGATAAAACTTTATTTTGGTGGTATTTATTCACCACTGGGATTTTTATTTTTTTGCTATGTAAATGAAAAAGTCCAAAAATTTTGAAAAAAAGTGTTTATCTTATAAATATTTGCAAATAAATAGTATTTCATCATAAATCTTGGCCAAAATTTATTCCGTTATCTTTTTAGTAAAAAACAAAATAACTCAAATTAGTTTATAACCAAAAATTATAATTTTTAAACATTTTTTTTTTTAATTTTTGTATTATTATTTATTATTTATGGGTTTTTTTTCACATACTGTCGCCCCAGCAGTACAGTGTCACCATGGTGACACTATACTACTTGTGGGGGATGAAGAAGATTTTTTTTTTTTTACACTGATTGCTTTTACACCCATAAAGGCTGTAAAAGCAATCATTTCTCCTTCTCTCTATCTGCATTCTTGCAGCCATTGAGAACTACTGTGTGAGCTGTGATTGATCACAGCTTGTCACATGGTACAAGGCTGTTGTGAATAGCCCTGTACCATGTGACCTCTGTGATCATTCACAGATTTCACACATAGTAAGTAATGATGTCACAAGTGACATCTTGCTTACTACTCTGCATGTGATCACTGATTGGCCAATCAGTGAGCACATGATCAGGCCCTCACACAGAGGTCCCGTCCGATGATCGGTGTTCCACTGTGTTCGGAGGACACAGCGGGCACCGGATTGCGGTGCTGCGTGCTCCCAGGGAGCGCGCACAAGCAGGTTGTGGGGAGGCCGTTTATAAAACCGCCACCCGACCCTGCACTGCCACCGTCCGGCCGTTTATACACAACAGCCCGGGACTGGAAGTGGTTAACATATAAAAAAGTCATTTTAACATACAAATTTTGTTTTTGTCCCAATACACACAAAGGGAATAAACATGTGTATAGCAAAACATGTGTTAATGCAATACGTTTCGTGAGAAATACATGATTTCCTGGAGAAATATCAAGGGTGCCAACAATTTCGGCCATGACTGTATATTTTTACATATATTTGTAAATGCATTCCAAAAATTTAGATTTGTATTTTTAAAGACATACAGTATATTTGAAATGTATTTTTAAAAAATATTTTTCAAATATTTTTTTGTAATAACGCATTTCAACATGCAGTATAGATATATTTATTGAAATATATTTTTAAATATATTGAATATGGCCAAAATTGGAGCATTTCAAATATATGGCAATATATTTGGAAAGAATATTTTTAAAATATATTTCAAATACATTTTTCTTCCATGTGGGTATTCTCGCCAGCGGTGGCCTTTTATTAGACAGATCTGAGATTAGACACACCAAGGATCCATCGTCCAGGTATATATTTATCGTATTCCAATATGAATTCAGATAAAAGATGGAGCCGATGCGTTTAGGTGGCCTCAAAATAAAAAAAATGTAAATTTAAAAAATATATTATATATATTAAAAGGGAACCTGTCACAAGCAAAAAAAAACAAAACAAAGAAAGAAGATTAGATAACTGGTAATGGATTTAAAAGTTGGGATTCATTGGTGGGGGTTCAGGAAATACCAATTCTGTATCCTTCTTCCATTCTTTGGCGGTGCTGATCATGGAAATTATTAAGCAGATTTATCTTAAGACAAAGCACTTTTGGAAAATGCTTCTTCTGAGAATTAGAATTAAGTCTGTTCTGTCCCGATGGAGTATATTATTTATCTGATACGAACACGTGGCTGTGGAGGAGATAATTAGCACACGGGGGGCTTATCCACCGGCCCCACTGACTGACTCGGTCTGAGACTCCGGTTTGTTTTTCTAGCGCACACCGAGGATACGAGAGGCAAAATAAAGACTAAAACAGTTTTTAATCCAACAATTTCAGCCATAAGATCTCAGTTTTAATGCTTGGACGAATAGACCAAAATAAAATATTTGGTTCTATGAAAGATTCAGGGAGTGATAGTGAGCACACTCCTCCCATCCTGACTGGGGCTGGGACAAGGGGTGGGCAGAAGGGACAGCAACCCTGGGCGCAGTGTGAAAGAGCAGAGAATGAACGCCCATTCTACTACATGCTTTAGCAGTGGGGGGAGGGGCGCAGTTCTGCATCCTTGCCCTGGGCACTGGATCAATCTGTCTCGGTACTGATCCTGACTACCCTGCCCCTCCCTGGTCATCAATGGTGATGGGGCACTATTTCTCCTACTGACACCAACGATGGGGAACTATTCCTCCCACTGATACCAATGATGGGGCACTATTCCTCCCACTGATACCATATAATGGGGCCACTATTCCTTATTCCTCCCCTGATACCAATGATGGGGGGTACTATTCCTCCCACTGATACCAATGATGGGGCACCATTCCTCCCACTGATACCAATGATGGGGCACTATTTCTCCCACTAATACCAATGATGGGACACTATTCCTCCCACTGATACCAATGATGGGGCACTATTCCTCCCACTGATACCAATGACGGGGCACTATTCCTCCCACTGGATACCAATGATGGGGCACTATTCTTCTCACTGACACCAATGATGGGGGCACTATTCCTCCCACTGATACCAATGATGGGGCACTATTCCTCCCACTGATACCAATGATGGGACACTATTGCTCCCACTGATACCAATGATGGGGCACTATTCCTCCCACTGATTACCAATGATGGGGGCACTAATTTCTCCCACTAATACCAATGATGGGGCACTATTCCTCCCACTGATACCAATGATGGGGCACTTTATTCCTCCCACTGACACCAATGATGGGGGCACTATTCCTCTCACTAATTACCAATGATGGGGCACTATTCCTCCCACTGATACCAATGATCGGGCACTATTCCTCTCACTGACACCAATGATGGGGCCACTATTCCTCCCACTGATACCAATGATGGGGCACTATTTCTCCCACTAATACCAATGATGGGGCACTATTCCTCCCACTGATACCAATGACCATGGGGCACTATTCCTCCCACTGATACCAATGATGGGGCACTATTCCTCCCACTGATACCAATGATGGGGACACTATTTCTCCCACTAATACCAATGATGGGGCACTATTCCTCCCACTGATACCAATTATTGGGGGGCACTATTCCTCTCACTGACATACCAATGATGGGGCACTATTCCTCCCACTGATACCAATGATGGGGCACTATTCCTCCCACTGATACCAATGATGGGGCACTATTCCTCCCACTGATACCAATGATGATGCACTATTCCTCCCACTGACACCAATGATGGGGCACTATTCCTCCCACTGATACCAATGATGGGACAGTATTCCTCCCACTGATACCAATGATGGGGCACTATTTCTCCCACTAATACCAATGATGGGGCACTATTCCTCCCACTGATACCAATGATCGGGCACTATTCCTCTCACTGACACCAATGATGGGGGCACTATTCCTCCCACTGACACCAATGATGGGGCACTATTCCTCTACTGATACCAATGATGGGGCACTATTCCTCCCACTGACACCAATGATGGGGCACTATTCCTCCCACTGATACCAATGATGGGGCACTATTTCTCCCACTAATACCAATGATGGGGCACTATTCCTCTCACTGACACCAATGATGGGGCACTATTCCTCTCACTGACACCAATGATGGGGCACTATTCCTCCCACTGATACCACAATGATGGGGCACTATTCCTCCCACTGATACCAATGATGGGGCACTATTCCTCCCCACTGATACCAATGATGATGCACTATTCCTCCACTGACACCAATGATGGGGCACTATTCCTCCCACTGATACCAATGATGGGACAGTATTCCTCCCACTGATACCAATGATGGGGCACTATTTTCTCCCACTGATACCAATTATGGGGCACTATTCCTCCCACTGATACCAATGATGGGGCACTATTCCTCCCACTGATACCAATGATGGGGCACTATTCCTCCCACTGATACCAATGATGGGGCACTATTCCTCCCACTGATACCAATGATGGGGCACTATTTCTCCCACTGATACCAATTATGGGGCACTATTCCTCCCACTGATACCAATGATGGGGGTACTAGTCTTCTTCCTACTGACCACCAAGTCTGAGACATGATGTTGAGGCATTTTTTACTCTCACTGGCCACAGCCCGGCCCTTCTAAAGTCTGAGGGACAGTAAACTGGAGAGAGACTCCTGGATTACCGTAACATCCAGTAATAAATCATCTTTATTCACAATCTCAATTTTACAGTTTTTCCTTTCTCAGTACTTGTTAGGACCAAGCTGGGGTAAAAACGTTGAGAAAGGCTGGCCTAGGCAGTTGTTCTAGATGAGCCCACATACCTGCATATGAATCCCTCTGATCTCTCCCACACAGATGCTGAGCTGCCTGGAGTTTATGTATCATGAGCTTGGACTTGTGCGGGAGTTTAACATGAACCCCATCACACTGAAACGCTGGCTGGTAGGTCCAAAAGTCTTTCCTTTATTTATGGATGTTCTCTTATCAGTCCATTACCTCTTCCATTAGGATTGTCTATAGGGAAGGTCAGGGGTGGAGTGACAACTCATTGGGGCCCCCGGGCAATAGGGGATCATGGGGCCCCTGTGTCATCACCAACACCCAAAAAAGCCTATGAAAAAGCCAATGAACGGTACCAGGGGCATCTCATGGGGCCCCCTACTGACCCCGGGCCCTCGGGCATTGCCCGAGTGTTTGAATGGTCAGTCCGCCCCTGGGGAAGGTATTATGTGAAATCTATTTTATGTTTTCGAAAGATTACAATTCCCTCAAAATCCCCTTTTTTTATTATTTGTATACAACATTTATTTGTCAAACAATCAATAAAGGATGCACACGACACTTAGTTTGCTAAACTTGCTGAAATCTGTAATTTTTGGTAAATGGCTTCTATGTACACTCACCCTCTGCCCTATAGCAGTAATACTGCTACCGGGCAGCAGGGCTGTGCAAAATCATGTATATATATGTGATTTGCATTTCCATGTAGGGGTGTATTTACCACAAGGCAAACAAGGCATTTGCCTAGGGCGGCATTTTTCAGGGGGGGCATCAGAATTTTCAGGTGAGCAGCGCCGTCCCCCGAAAGAAGGAAAGGAAGAAGGGACACATGCAGAACGGGGACCAGGTGGAATCTGAGAGAGGCTGCAGGCTGCTTGATGGTGTATGCAGATCCTGACTCTTGTTCCCGGGGAAGTCCAGAGCTGTGAAGATGAGTGTCTTATCTCTTACTGGGGTGGGGGGGGGGTTGCCAGTGTATGGGGGGTGGTGGTAGTGGAAGGCTCCCTTGCAGGGGCGGACTGACAACTCATGGGGCCCCCAGCAATAGGGGATCATGGGGCCCCTGTGTCCTCGCCTACACTCAAACCACACCCAAAAAAGCCTATGAAAGGTACCAGGGGCATCTCATGGGGCCCCCTACTGACCCCGGGCCCTCGAGCAGTGCCCGAGTTTCCAAATGGTCAGTCTGCCCCTGCTCCCTTGGGTGGTGGTGGGGCTGGGGTGTTGTTGGTCAATGTCAGGCTCTCTTCGTGGCGGAGGGGGGTGTTGTTCGTTGTCAGGGTCTCTTTGTGAGAAAGGGGGAGGGGGAGCCAATTTTTGTGTTGCCTAGGGCAGCACGAAACCTAAATACACCACTGCCAGTGCCATTAGTACAGTGTCAGTGCTTTTTATTAGCACTGATCATTGTATTGGTGTCACTGGGGATGTCAGTAGCAGTTAGTCAGTTCCCCCCCAGTGTCAGAATGCCCGCCGCAGTCCTGCTAAAAGTCACCCGATCGCCGCCATTACTAGTATATATACAAAAAAAATTTCCAGTATCTATACCGCCATTTATAAACGCTATAACTTTCATGTAAACCAATTAATTTACACCTATTGGGATTGTTTTTTTTTTTGTAGCAAAGACACGGAGCAGAATACATTTTGGCTGAAATTTATGATGAAATTTGATTTAAAAAAATTTTTTTAAGCAAAAAACTCAAGAACATTTTTTTAATTTTTTTTTTAATTGTCGGTCTTGTTTGGTAATAGCGCAAAAAAAAAAAAAAACGCAGAGCCGATGAAATACCACCGAAAGAAAGCTCAATTTGTGGGAAAAAAGGACATAAATTTAATTTGGGTGCAGCGTTGCATGACTGCGCAATTGACAGTTAAAGTAACGCAGCGCCTCTTCTGGAGGGCGAGGGGTTAAAGGGACTGCAATATTACACACTATGGCGGCCGCCGCTGTTAATCTCTTCCTTCAAAATGTTCTTTTCCTGACTTTTTTTTGACATTTTGGCTTCAACGCTTTCTCAGTCTGACCCAGAACAAGGATGGAGATATGGAACTCTGACACTCATTTGCAGCATGCTTGTTCCAGGGCAATGACTCAGAAGTATTGAAGCCAGATTCAGTCCGGCACAGGGGCGGACTGACAACTCATGGGGCCCCCGGGTAATAGGGGATCATGGGGCCCCTGTGTCCTTGCCCACACTCAAACCACTCCCAAAAAAAGCCTATGAAAGGTACCAGGGGCATCTCATGGGGCCCCCTACTGACACCTGGGCCCTCGGGCAGTGCCCAAGAGCCCGAATGGTCAGTCCGCCCCTGGTGAGGAAGCTAATATTTTCAAAAGAAGACCAGCCATGGCAGCTCCAAACTGCACTTTTCTCACCTTAATGTGGAACTCCACCCTAAAGGGAAGGTCTGCTTTAACCCCTCGCCCTCCAGAGGATTCCCCCCACCTTCCTGACCAGGCCATTTTTTTTGCGCTACGGTGCTGCGTTACGTTAACTGACAAATGCGCGGCCATGCAACGCTGTACATATATTACAGTTATATAATTTTTTTCCCCACAAATAGAGCTTTCTTTATGTGTATTTGATCGCCTGTGCGGTTTTTATTTTTTGTGCTATAAACTGAAAAAGACAGACAATTTGGAAAAAAAAAAATATATATATTTGTACTTTTTGCTATAAAACATGTCCAGTAAAAAAATTTTTAAAAATCAAATTTTGTCCTAAATTTAGGGCAAAATGTATTCTGCTCCGTGTCTTTGCTAAAAACAATCCCAATACGTGCAAATTAATTTTTTTTTTTCGTGAACATACGAAAAACCCGTAAGTGTTCACAAAAAACACAAGTGCAAAACACCACACAAAAAAGTGCACTTAGGGGTGTGCTTTGTCCTTCCCCCGAAGGGGATGGACCTCTACCCTGATCCCCCGGGGCACGAAGCTCCTGACAGGGACAAGGTTCCCGTATGGTCCTCCTAGCCAAAAGGCCTGGCGGACCTCTTTCCTTGTGGCCAGCCGAAGCCAGCCACTCAGTACTTGGTAAGGGGGCTCTCCCGAAGAGAAAACCCCTAGGGACAGGGGAGGAAGGAACCAAAAGGCCACACATCCTCCCCCTAGACTTCAGGGTAGGCCTGAGGACCCACACCCTCCATCCTGTGAGAAAATAAAACACACACAAAAGTGAAAAGTGACAAACGTGGGAGAGAAAATAAATAAAATAAATAAGTGGCCGTGCAGATTGTTCCCCGCAAAGCTAGAATGATGGTGGAGCCCCCTACTGGACACTGATAAGAACAGATACTACTACACTTGATCTTAGCCAAAAGGCCGAGAAGCGATGTAACTTAATTGGTTTACGTGAAAGTTATAGCGTTTACAAATGGCGGTATAGATACTGGAATTTTTTTTTTTATACTAGTAATGGCGGCGATCAGCGACTTATAGCGGGACTGCAGCGGGCATTCTGACACTGGGTGGAAACTGACTTGGTGTCACTGACATCCCCAGTGACACCAATACAACGATCGGTGCTAATAAAAAGCACTGACACTGGGCAGGAAGGGGTTAACATGAGGGGAAATCTAAGGGCTAATTGTGTGCTTTGTGTGTATTACTGTGAAAAGTGTGTGCTGCTTTACTAGGGAGACCTGCTGCTTTCTATCTCTCTGCTGTGCAGAGAGATAGAAAGCAGCATGTCCATGCTGACAGGAGAGAGACCTGAGTTGTTTACACAGAGATCTCTCCCCTCTCAGCTTCGACGATGATCACCGAGTCCTGGCCAGGAATTTTCGTCTGGAACTCGGTGACTGACATCCTCAGGAGCAGGGGCGGACTGACAACTCATGGGGCCCCAGGGCAATAGGGGATCATGGGGCCCTTGTGCCCTTGCCCAAACTCAAAAAAGCCTATGAAAAAGGTACCAGGGGCATCTCATGGGGCCACCCTACTGACCCCGGGCCCTCGGACAGTGCCCGAGTTTCCAAATGGTCGGTCCGCCCCTGCTCAGGAGCCAACTGTAGAGATTTACGTGATTTTGCATAGCACGGCTGCCCTGTAGCAGTACATCTGCTATGGGGTGGTTGTCAGGTGGTTAACACTGCCTTCCCCCCCCTCTCCCACTTATTGAGGGTGTTTTTTTTTTTGGGTGTGGGTTCCTAGACTTAGCAGGTTCCCACTTCCGATAGGACCGCCTAGGCCAGGGGTGTCCAAACTATGGCTGTCGAAGTACCTGACACCACCTATTCCTGCGCACGGCTTTTTTAAGTGGGAAAGCGGAGGAATCAAGTTCAGCACTGAATGTATGTAATGGCAAGGGGTGCTGGGGTGTGCAGGAGGGTCTATTGATGCTGGCTGTTGGGGGATCTATTGTTGCTGGGGGGAATCTCCTAATGGGTGATGGGTCAATTGTTGCTGAAGGGTCAATTGTTGCTGGGTGAATCTACTGTTGAGGGAGGGGTCTGCTGTTGCTGGCTGCTGGGAGATCTATTGTTGCTGGAGTGGGGCTATTGTTGCTGGGGGGTGGTTTTGTTCCTGGGAGTGCTTTTGTTGCTGGCAGGAGGGGATCCATTTTACTGCTTTTTATGGTAACTTTAGCAAATTCTATACAGATTTTTTGACACCGCAAAATGATACTTGGTTCTGTATTCACTAAAAGGGGTGGTACTGGTAGGTGGTGCAACCAAAGGATGGCGCTCATAGATGGGTAGGGGGCGGAGACAAGGGGATACCTGGAAGGGGGGAGTTTCTACACCTATTCTCTGAGAGAAAAACCCCCTGACTATTGGACCAGAACCATCATCAGCATCCTCACTGGCCCTAGTAAGTAAAGGAGGAGGTGAGGCCAAGATCACAATTACAGAAACTTGCCACAATTTAAACAAAAAGCTTCTGGAGCTACCTAGCAGAGAATGAACCAATATGCTGTACCTGGAAATATATTTCATCAAAGCTCTGGAGCTGTATACCACTTCCAAAAGATAAAATCAATTTTATTGTTCAACACAAGCCCAAATACTCAACCAAGAATCTTCCCACTAACATATGATTAAACTTTAGTATGGGGCGAAACGCGTTGGTGGGAGTATCCTGGGTGCAGTGTCTGTGCTGACCAATAAGGTTGATTTGGCAGTGGTGTGCGGCTGTAGAATGAATGATGTGTGGGAGGAACAGACACTGGAGGAGTGAGCACCTACAAGCTGGTTTGGAGGTGGTTTGCTGAAATGCAGAGGTTCTAGGTCAGGGGTCTCCAAACTATGACAATCCAGCTGTTGAAGTACTACAAGTCCCATCATGCCTCTGCCTCTGGGTGTCTTGCCTGTGGATGTAAGAGTCTTGCAAGGCCTCATGGGACTTGCAGTTCCTTTACACCTGGAGGGCCATAGTTTGGATACCCCTGGCCTAGGCGGTCTGAGCAGAAGTTCTCTTCCCTCACCTGCATCCTTCTTGGAACACATCACAGGTCCCAAGAGGCTGCGGGTCCATTCACAAGTGCCACTCTCGGTCTCTCAATGTGAAGTCACAAGACTCACAGCCGTCTTTCCTTAGTAAATATTCTGGGGACCTGAAGACTGGCCGGACCAGGTGAGGACAGCTCTGAATCCCTGGACAGGTATCTGTCCTATTTTTAAAATTCAGCATCCACAATATTTGTAGCTGCTGGTTTTTTTTTATTTATTTGCTTATTTATTTATTTTTCTTAAAGGGTAACTCCACTTTCATGGGAAAAAATAGCAAAAAAAAAAAAAAAATATAGAGTATACAATTGTGACACAAGTCATATCGCAATTGAATGTTATTAAAAATGATCTTTGCTTTTTCAACCTGCAACACCGATATTTTTTTTTAAAATGAGATGCAATATAGCAACCTGGAAGCATTCTGTATACAGAAATGTAATTTCCTGCTTGTGTGATTGGCTTCCCGATTTTCCCAGAGGCCTGAACAAAAATACAAAGTCAGATTTTTGGCATCCCTGCAACAAAAATGTCATTTTTTAGTGAGATACTCCCAAAAGGAAATTACGTTTAAAGGGATGCAAACCCTGCCGCTTTCCTCATTAGAGTCCTGCAGGTGCAGCAGCTGATTGATAATTATAAAATTGCTCACATTCATTTATAGACACAGACAAACAGTTATTTCTTCAGAATAATAAAAGGTAGGAATCTGCTAGAAAGTTTGTTAAAATCCCTGCAATGTACAGAGATCACCCAGAGGGAATGTTTTTTTTTTTCTCAACAAATGTGGAGTTACTCTTTAAGAATGAAGAACTGTGGGTTGTGCTAGGAGGTTAATAGGCTCCTGTCAAAATTGGCCCTAGTATGTGCATGTATGCATGTGGACCTTAGAGTGTAAGCTCCTTGGGTGCTGATACTGGGGGAAATGCGCAGTATGTAAAGCTCTGCATTAATTGTCTGCGTTACATAAATACCTGTAATAAATTAAATAAACATCATGCAATATATGTAAGTGTGTATGTTTTTGTTTTCGCTGATCTACTTCAGTTGTGTATCCAGGAGAACTACAGAAGCAATCCATTTCACAACTTCCGCCATTGCTTTTGTGTGACCCAGATGATGTACGGAATGATTCATCTCTGCCAGTTACAGGTTCAGTAGACACCTTCCTCCTCTGTTATTTTTTTTTATAAATGTACAGTTGCAAGAAAAAGTATGTGAACCCCTTGGGATTACGTGGAGTTTTGCATGAATTGGGCATAAAATGTGCTCTGAACGTCATCTAAGTCACAGCAATAGAAGAACACAGTCTGCTGAACATAATACTACACAAACATTAGATGTTGCCATGGTTTAATTGCACATAACATGTAAACATTCACAGTGCAGGGAGGAAAAAGTATGTGAGGCCCTAGCTTAATGACTTCTCCCAGAGCTAATTGGAGCCAGGAGTGCGCCAACCTTGACTCCAATCAGTGTGATGATATTGGATGTGTTGCTGACAGCTGTCCTGCCCTTAAAAAACACACACCTGTTTTGGGTTTACTGGTTTCAAGAAGCACTGTCTGATGTGAACCATGCCTCGCAGAAAAGAGCTCTCAGAAGACCTACGATCAAGAATTGTTGACTTGCATGAAGCTGGAAAGGGTTACAAAAGTATCTCCAAAAGCCTTGATGTTCATGTGTCCATGGTAAGACAGACAGTCTACAAATGGAGAAAGTTTAGCACTGTTGCTACTCTCCCTAGGCGTGGTCGTCCTGTAAAAATGACTGCAAGAGCACAGCGCAGAATGCTGCATGAGGTAAAGAAGAATCCCAGAGTGTCAGCTAAAGACCTACAGAAATCTCTGGCACATGCTAACATTTTTGTTGACACATCTACAATAAGGAAAACATTAAAGAATGGAGTACATGGGAGGACACCACGGAGGAAGCCATTGCTGTCCAAAAAGAATATTGCAGCACGTTTGAAGTTTGCAAAAGAGCACCTGGATGTTCCACAGCACTACTGGCAAAATATACTGTGGACCAGGGGCAGACTGACAACTCATGGGGCCCCCGGGCAATAGGGGATCATGGGGCCCCTGTGTCCTTTCCCAAACTCAAAAAAGCCTATGAAAAAGGTACCAGGGGCATCTCATGGGGCCCCCTACTGACCCCGGGCCCTCGGGCAGTGCCCGAGTTTCCAAATGGTCAGTCCGCCCCTGCTGTGGACAGATGAAACCAAGATTGAGTTGCTTGGGAAGAACACACAACACTATGTGTGGAGAAAAAAAGGCACAGCACACCAACATCAAAACCTCATCCCCACTGTAAAACATGGCGGAGGGAGCATCATGGTTTGGGGCTGCTTTGCTGCCTCAGGGCCTGGACGGATTGTTGTCACTGATGGGAAAATTAATTCCAGAGTTTATCAAGACATTTTGCAGGAAAATGTACGACCATCTGTCCGCCAACTGAAGCTCCGCAGAGGATGGGTGATGCAACAGGACAATGACCCAAAGCATACAAGTAATTCAACAAAACAATGGCTGCAACAGCACAGAATACACCTTCTGGAGTGGCCCAGTCAGAGTCCTGACCTCAAACCGATTGAAATGCTGTGGCATGACCTTAAGAGAGCGATTCACACCAGACATCCCAAGAATATTGCTACACTGAAACAGTTTTGTGAAGAGGAGTGGTCCAAAATGACTCCAGATCGTTGTGCAGGTCTGATCTGCAACTACAGGAAATGTTTGGTTGAGGTTATTGCTGCCAAAGGAGGGTCAACCAGTTATTAAGTCCAAAGGTTCACATACTTTTTCCACCCTGCACTGTGAATGTTTACATGTTATGTGCAATTAAACCATGGCAACATCTAATGTTTGTGTAGTATTATGTTCAGCAGACTGTGTTCTTCTATTGTTGTGACTTAGATGACGTTCAGAGCACATTTTATGCCCAATTCATGCAAAACTCCACGTAATCCCAAGGGGTTCACATACTTTTTTTTGCAACTGTATAAGAATTGCATGCCATCAACAAACAGCAGATGCTATCTATATATCTATATATATATTTATATTTTATTAATTACTGTGCAAAAGTTTTTAGGCAGGTGTGGAAAAAACCCTGTAAAGTAAGAATGCTTTCAAAAATATATGTTTTACTTGTTTACTTTTATCAATGTGCAAATTGGGCAAACAGAAGAAAAATCGAAATCCAATCAATATTTGGTATGACCACCCTTTGGCTTCAAACCGGCATCAATTCTTACACTCGCACAAAGTGAAGGATTTTGTAGGATTAGAGTCAGGTGTATGATTAACCAGTTATACCAAGCAGGTGCTAATGATCATCAGTTTTATATGTGGGCTAAAAAACACAGTCATTAACTGAAACAGCAACAGCTGTGTAGGAGGCTTAAAGCTGGGTGAGAAACAGCCAAACTCTGCTACTAAGGTCAGGTTGTAGGAGGCAATCTCAGATAGGTACAATAATGAGTGTCTGCAGGCAATAGTGAAATATGGTGGAGGTTTCTTGCAAGTTTGGGGCTGCATTTCTGCGAATAGAGTTGGAGATTTGGTCAGGATCAATTATGTCCTCAATGCTGAGAAATAAAGGAAGGAAGGTTCCATCATGCCATACCATCAGGGAGGCGTGTGATTTGCCCCAAAGTTATTCGCAGCAGGACAACGACCCCAAACATACAGCCAATGTCATTAAGAACTATCTTCAGAGTAAAGAAGAACAGGGAGTCTTGTAAAGGATGGTTTGGCCCCCACAGAGCCCCAATTTTAATGTTTGTCTGGAATTACGTAAAGAGACAGAAGGATTTGAGGCAGCTACATCCACGGAAGATCTGAGGTTAGTTCTCCAAGATGTATGGAACATCCTACCCACCGAGTTCCTTCAAAAACTGTGTGCAAGTCTACCTAGAAGAACTGATGCTGTTTTGAAGGCAAAGGACGGTCACGCCAAACATTGATTTGATTTGGATTTCTCTTTTGTTCATTTACTTTCCATTTTGTTAATTGATAAAAATAAACTATTAACACTTCTAGTTCTGAAAGCATTCTTCATTTACAGTATGTTTTCCACACCTAACTAAAACTTGTGCACAGTACTGTGTGTGTATTTTATATATATATATATTCACACACTATATTGCCCAAAGTATTGGTCGGCCGGCCTTTACACGCACATGAACTTTAATGGCCCCCCAGTCTTAGTCCGTAGGGTTCAATATTGAGTTGGCCCCGCCCTTTGCAGCTATAACAGCTTCAACTCTTTTGGGAAGGCCGTCCACAAGGTTTTAGGAGGGTGTCTATGGGAAGGTTGACCATTCTTCCAGTAGCACATTTGTGAGGTCAGGCACTGATGTCGGGGGAGGAGGCCTGGCTCGCAGTCTCCACTCTAATTCATCCCAAAGGTGTTCTATGGGGGGTTGAGACTCTGTGCAGGCCAGTCAAGTTCGCTCATCCATGTCTTTGTGGACACTCATGTTGGAACAGGAAGGGGCCATCCCCAAACTGTACCACAAAGTTGGGAGCATGAAATTGTCCAAAATGTCTTGGTATGCTGACGCCCTTAACAGTTTCCTTCACTGGAACTAGGGGGCCAAACCCAAACCCCTGAAAAACAACCCACACACCATAATCCCCCCTCCACCAAACTTTACACTTGGCACAATGTAGTCAGGAAAGTACCGTTCTCCTGGCAACTGCCAAACCCAGACACGTCCATCGGGTTGCCAGACAGAGAAGCATGATTGGTCACTCCAGAGAACACGTCTTCCCTGCTCTAGAGTCCAGTGGCGGCGTGCTATACGCCACGGCATCCTACGCTTTGCATTGCACTTGGTGGTATATGGCTTCGATGCAGCTGCTCGGCCATGGAAACCCATTCCATGAAGCTCTCTACGCACTGTTGTTGTGCTCATCTGAAGGCCACACCAAGTTTGGAGGTCTTTAGCTATTGACTCTGCAGACAGTTGGCGACTTCTGCGCACTGTGCGCTTCAGCATGCGCTGACCCCACTCTGTCATGTGACATGGCCTACCACTTGGTGGCTGAGTTGCTGTTGTTCCCAGTTGCTTCCACTCTGTTATAATCCCACTAACAGTTGAGCGTGGAATATTTAGTAGCCAGGAAATGTCACGGATGGACTTATTGCCCAGGTGGCCACCTATCACGGGACCACGCTTGGAGTCACTGAGCTCCTGAGAGCGACCCATTCTTTCACAAATGTTTGTAGAAGCAGTCTGCATGCCTAGGGGCTTGATTGTATACACCTGTGTCCATGGAGGGGATTGGAACACCTGAATCACATGATTGGGAGGGCGGGGCCAATACTTTTGGCAATATAGTGTATATATGTATAGGGGTATATTGCACTTTGACCAAAGTAACAATTCCCCCTCTTTTTTCAGGAGCGTATGCCACTTTTACAGTTGGGAGTCCTCATGACAGCCGCCGTGTGTCACGATCTCGACCACCCCGGATACAACAATACGTAAGATGTAGCTCTATCCCTCCAGCTGAAATGATAGGAATATGAATACATCCTAGTTACTCTGAAAAGATATATAACTGTTTCTTTACTCTTACCCACACTAGATACCAGATCAATGCCCACACGGAGCTGGCAATCCGCTATAATGATATATCACCCCTAGAGAACCATCACTGTGCCGTGTCGTTCCAAATCCTGGCGCAACCAGAAAATAACATCTTCTCTAATGTGTCCCCCGAACTCTTCAAACAGATCCGACAGGTGACGTTTTTGCAGGAGCCTGATGGAGTCATGTACTCAGAGAAAAGGATTGTTCATTTGTTAAATTTTTTTCCCTCAATCACCTAGTATTGTCTAACACAGCAGTGGGCAACTACGGCCCTCCAGCTGTCATGGAACTACATGTCCCAGGGGCGGACTGACAACTCATGGGGCCCCCGGGCAATAGGAGATCATGGGGCCCCTGTGCCCTTGGCCAAACTCAAAAAAGCCTATGAAAAAGGTACCAGGGGCATCTCATGGGGCCCCCTACTGACCCCGGGCCCTCGGGCAGTGCCCGAGTTTCCAAATGGTCAGTCCGCCCCTGACATGTCCCATAAGGCATTGAAAGGCTGACAGTTGCATCATGATTCGCAGAGGCATGATGGGACCTGTAGTTCCACAACAGCTGGAGGGCCACAGTTTGCCCACCCCTGGTCTAACATATTGTGTCTGACACAATTTCAGTGCTACCTTTTATATACACAATAACTGGCCTGACTCTCAGCTGAGAGTCGAGCCAATTAATTACAATTCAAACCTCTGCACCTCTCCCCTTCTGACAGATGTTTCATCCATTGGGTCTGATAAAGACCTCGTTCTCAGGGGTGTATCTAAGCGTACATCTGCGCATTGGGCTATCTTTGCCCTCACAGGATAGAGGTGTTCCATGTATCTGTGTGCGGGCAGTCCCATTCAGGCCTACTGGAATGCAGCGGCTGCAAGGACACATATATTTGTCCTAATTTGACAGCCATGTAGGTGCGGGTGCCTGTTCCTGAATCCTTAGATACACCTGGGTAAACCAGGCTTTTTTTTTTTGGTTTCTTAGGTAGACATAACAGCTATAATCCCTCCAGTATTGGAGTAATCCTATTCCTTGTGTTGTTTGTTGATGGGCTCACACGTTGTGGCTGTAGTTTGTAGGGTGTAAGCTGATCAATTTCACTATGTCCATGTATTCATTCATCTAGCTTGTCCCTGTTTGGCAAAGGGACAAAACAATTTCCTGTTCCGGGTCACACAGTGTTAAGTCCATGCCCCTCTGTGTTGCAGCACGAATGTGATGAAACACATCATCTAGCTCAGTGTTTTTCAACCAGTGTTCCACGAGAGATCAACAGGTCCAGCCACAATCTACCTGTCAGTCACAGGCAGCTGACGGGAAGATCTCATGCAGAGGGGTGCCGGAAACGAAAAGGGTTTCTTAAAGCTGAGCTCCACCCAAAAGGGGATGTTCCGCTTTAAGGCTTTGCTCCCCGCTCCCCATTAACCACTACTTTTCCTTTATACTGGCTTTTGAAATTCACAAATGCAGCTATTTAAAAAATGACCGAATGGTCTAGCACTGGGAAACACTTTTTGAAAGATAAAAAGTGCATTTTATATACAACTATACAGTGGGGATCGAACGTTTGGGCACCCCAGCTAAAAATTTGTATTAATGTGCATAAAGAAGCCAAGGAAAGATGGAAAAATCTCCAAAAGGCATCAAATTACAGATTAGACATTCTTATAATATGTCAACAAAAGTTTTATATTATTTCCATCATTTACACTTTCAAAATAACAGAAAACAAAAGAATGATGTCTGCAAAAGTTTGGGCACCCTGCAGAATTTATAGCATGCACTGCCCCCTTTGCAAAGCTGAGACCTGCCAGTGTCATGGATTGTTCTCAGTCATCGTCTGGGAAGACCAGGTGATGTCAAGCTCAAAGGTTTTAAATGCCCAGACTCATCTGACCTTGCCCCAACAATCAGCACCATGGGTTCTTCTAGGCCAGTGGTTCTCAACCTTTCTAATGCCGCGACCCCTTAATACAGTTCCTCATGTTGTGGTGACCCCCAACCATAAAATTATTTTCGTTGCTACTTCATAACTGTAATTTTGCAGTGGGAGGACTAGCGCCCCATCACTGATGTCAGTGGGATGAATAGTGTCCCATCGTTGGTATCAGTGGGAGGAATAGTGCCCCATCATTGGTATCAGTGGGAGGAATAGTGCCCCATCGTTGGTATCAGTGGGAGGAATAGTGCCCCATCATTGGTATGAGTGGGAGGAATAGTGCCCCATCATTGGTATGAGTGGGAGGAATAGTGCCCCATCATTGGTGTCAGTGGGAGGAATAGTGCCCCATCATTGGTATCAGTGGGAGGAATAGTGCCCCATCATTGGTGTCAGTGGGATGGGAGGAATAGTGCCCCATCATTGGTATGAGTGGGAGGAATAGTGCCCCATCATTGGTATGAGTGGGAGGAATAGTGCCCCATCGTTGGTATGAGTGGGAGGAATAGTGCCCCATCGTTGGTATGAGTGGGAGGAATAGTGCCCCATCGTTGGTATGAGTGGGAGGAATAGTGCCCCATCGTTGGTATGAGTGGGAGGAAATAGTGCCCCATCGTTGGTATCAGTGGGAGGAATAGTGCCCCATCGTTGGTATCAGTGGGAGGAATAGTGCCCCATCGTTGGTATCAGTGGGAGGAATAGTGCCCCATCGTTGGTATCAGTGGGAGGAATAGTGCCCCATCGTTGGTATCAGTGGGAGGAATAGTGCCCCATCGTTGGTATCAGTGGGAGGAATAGTGCCCCCATCGTTGGTATCAGTGGGAGGAATAGTGCCCCATCGTTGGTATCAGTGGGAGGAATAGTGCCCCATCGTTGGCGTCAGTGGGAGGAATAGTGCCCCATCGTTGGCGTCAGTGGGGGGAGGAATAGTGCCCCATCGTTGGCGTCAGTGGGGGGAGGAATAGTGCCCCATCGTTGGCGTCAGTGGGGGGAGGAATAGTGCCCCATCGTTGGCGTCAGTGGGGGGAGGAATAGTGCCCCATCGTTGGCGTCAGTGGGGGGAGGAATAGTGCCCCATCGTTGGCGTCAGTGGGGGGAGGAATAGTGCCCCATCGTTGGTGTCAGTGGGGGGGGAGGAATAGTGCCCCAGTGGGGGGAGGAATAGTGCCCCATCGTTGGTGTCAGTGGGGGGAGGAATAGTGCCCCATCGTTGGTGTCAGTGGGGGGAGGAATAGTGCCCCATCGTTGGTGTCAGTGGGGGGAGGAATAGTACCCCATCGTTGGTGTCAGTGGGGGGAGGAATAGTGCCCCATCGTTGGTGTCAGTGGGGGGAGGAATAGTGCCCCATCGTTGGTGTCAGTGGGGGGAGGAATAGTGCCCCATCGTTGGTGTCAGTGGGGGGAGGAATAGTGCCCCATCGTTGGTGTCAGTGGGGGGAGGAATAGTGCCCCATCGTTGGTGTCAGTGGGGGGGGAGGAATAGTGCCCCATCGTTGGTATTAGTGACACAAATGATGGGGCACTATCCCTTCCACTGACACCAATGATACTTACCTTGCTGACTCCTGCTCCATCCTGGGCTCGCTCTCTCCCTCTCCCATCTACAGCCAGCATACCTGGCTGCAGCAGCAAAATTTGCACTTACCTGTCAGCTGTCTTCCTTCTCTGGCCTCTCTCTTCACTCGTTCCTGCAGCTCCCTCAATCTTCTTCGATCTCCGCGCGCTGCTGCTCGGCTCCTCCTCTCCAAGCTCCACCTTCTCGCCGGTGATTGGCCGCCTGTGTGCCTCTCCTGAGCTACAGTTCCGGTGGCCAATCAGCGGCGAGGAGGCGGTGACAGGGGCAGCATATCATCCCGCCCACACATCGCCGGAGACAGCAGCGGTGTCTCGGATCCTAAGACCATCGGAAATATGTGTTTTCCGATGGTCTTAGGCGACCCCTGGGAAATGGTCGTTCGACCCCCAAAGGGGTCGCGACCCCCAGGTTGAGAACCGCTGTTCTAGGCAGTTGTCTAGAAAACTGAAACTGAAAATAGTTGACGCTCACAAAGCTGGAGAAGGCTATAAGAAGATAGCAAAGCGTTTTCAGATGTCAATATCCTCTGTTCGGAATGTAATTAAGAAATGGCAGTCATCAGGAACAGTGGAAGTTAAAGCAAGATCTGGAAGACCAAGAAAAATATCAGACAGAACAGCTCGCAGGATTGTGAGAAAAACAATTCAAAACCCACGTTTGACTGCATGATCCCTCCAGAAAGATCTGGCAGACACTGGAGTTGTGGTACACTATTCCACTATAAAGAGATACTTGTACAAATACGGTCTTCATGGAAGAGTCATCAGAAGAAAACCTCTTCTACGTCCTCACCACAAAAATCATCGTTTGAACTTTGCAAATGAACATATAGACAAGCCTGATGCATTTTGGAAACAAGTTCTGTGGACCGATGAGGTTAAAATTGAACTTTTTGGCCGGAATGAGCAAAGGTACGTTTGGAGAAGAAGGGGCACAGAATTGAATGAAAAGAACCTCTGTCCAACTGTTAAGCATGGGGTTGGATCAATCATGCTTTGGGGTTGTGTTGCAGCCAGTGGCACAGGGAACATCTCACGAGTAGAAGGAAAAATGGATTCAATAAAATTTCAGCAAATTTTGGATGGTTACTTGATGCCATCTGTGAAAAAGCTGAAGTTAAAGAGAGGATGGCTTCTACAAATGGATAATGATCCTAAACACACCTCGAAATCCACGGGGGATTACATCAAGAGGCATAAACTGAAGGTTTTGCCATGGCCTTCACAATCTCCTGACCTCAACATAATTGAAAATCTATGGATAGACCTTAAAAGAGCAGTGCGTGACAGACAGCCCACAAATCTCAAAGAACTGGAAGACTTTTGTAAGGAAGAATGGGCAAAGATACCTCAAACAAGGATTGAAAGACTCTTGGCTGGCTACAAAAAGCGTTTACAAGCTGTGATACTTGCCAAAGGGGGGCAGTACAAGATATTAACTCTGCAGGGTGCCCAAAAACTTTTGCAGACGCCATTTTTTTGTTTTCTGTTATTTTGAAAGTGTAAATGATGGAAATAAAATCTAACTTTTGTTGACATATTATAAGAATGTCTAATCTGTAATTTGATGCCTTTTGGAGATTTTTCCATCTTTCCTTGGCTTCTTTATGCACATTAATACAAATTTTTAGCTGGGGTGCCCAAACTTTCGATCCCCACTGTATAGATCAGACCAAAATGAGGGGCAAATGAGAAGGAAAGAGGGACAGAGGGACTTTGTTTCAAATAAGGGACAGTCCCTCGAAATCAGGGACAGTCCCTCGAAATCAGGGACAGTTGGGAGCTGTGGATATATAACTAAGGTATGTAAGATGGCTACTAATTCGTACGGTGCTCTTTAAAGGAGGGGGCAGTAGGGCAATAGACACATAGCAGACAAGCGCACCTAATTTTGCTATGAGGCTGTGTGACATACTTACAGTATTTATTTTTGAAGGTAGGTCATACCTTTAGTACAAATCTAGTAACTTTTGAACCCCTCATTCATTCTCTCCCTGGCAGGCGATCATCCGTCTGATTCTAGCAACAGACATGGCAAACCATGGAGTTATTCTGGAGTCGTTTAGACAGATTGTGTCCAACTTTGACTTCTCCAGTGAGGAACACGTGAAAACTGTGAGTGTGGCTCATCTACAACCTAGAAGTCAAATATGAACGAGTGCAAGGTCTACAACTACAAACTGCAGGTTTTATGGAAGTGTAGGACCCCCCTAAGCTTGGCACAGCCAGGAAACACGCATTTTCCAACAAAGGAACACAGCGTCTCTAAGTATTTAATAAGAAGATAAGTAGTAATTCACATCTTGGAAATTAAAAGCAGGCTCAAGTAGTGGAGAGGTAAAACGTCTTGTGCCAGATGTTTGGGTGACTGTACCAGAAGGAGATAGCCTAGGTCCACCAGCAGATGCTGCTGTGTATGTGTAGCATGGGTGGTGAAGCCTGGCAGAGTCTCCAAGATGTCAGAGGTTGGTCACGTTCAGCGTCTGACATCATCAATGTGTGACTCCTTTCTGAGCATGTGCGGGACGAGCGTCGCCTGGTGCGCTCTTTCATCAGGAAGGGTCGGGGGGCCCTTCCTGATGAAAGCGCGTGTCCTTTGAAAGCTATGTGGCAGTGTCTCCCCTTGTGACTTCCTGGGTGTACTGATGTCCTCACTCTGTCCTCCTTGCTCCCACTTCTCGCAGGCCTTGATCCTGTTCATCCTGTACTGCTGAATGGACCCTCCTGAGCCAGCCTAGAGGCCAGCTCCCCTAGACGTAGGGGACCCCTCCCAGGCCACCAACAGTCTCCTCAGCACTTTATCTTCCACCCGACTCCCCTGCTAGCCTGACTCTCCTATATTTATGGGTTGGTCCACCACTCTGCTGGGGCCTCCAAACCTGGGATTGGTTAGACTCCCACAAACATGCAGATTAGGTCTCCACCTCTTCCGCCCACTGGCTTCTGGAAGGTTCCAATGGTCCTCCAGAACCAGGTGGAGGCAAGTTCCAACCTGTTAAGCCATCCACCTTGACCTGCAGTAACCCAACTTTAATCACAGACTCACACAGTTACCATGTGTCATACACAATAGATTTGGCTACATGTTTCTAGTAGCACACAAGAGGGTGCTACAGAAGCAAAGAACAGGCAATGTTTGTTGCCTGTAGCCACCACATTCCTGTTTTCATGATCTCAATCTGCAGTGGTAAAGAAGGTTTGGTTTCCATGGGCAATGACAGCAATTGAACAAGCCCCCAGATAATGATGGCCCTCTGTCATCTTTCAGCATTATGGCACAGACAAGACGGAAGTAGCATTACCTATTTTACAACATTGACGGGCAGTGGCAGCCATAGTGCCTCCAAAAATAAATGGTACTATTCTATATACAGTCAGGTCCATAAATATTGGGACATCGACACAATTCTAACATTTTTGGTTCTATACACCACCACAATGGATTTGAAATGAAACGAACAAGATGTGCTTTAACTGCAGACTGTCAGCTTTAATTTGAGGGTATTTACATCCAAATCAGGTGAATGGTGTAGGAATTACAACAGTTTGCATATGTGCCTCCCACTTGTTAAGGGACCAAAAGTAATGGGACAGAATAATAATCATAAATCAACCTTTCACTTTTTAATACTTGGTTGCAAATCCTTTGCAGTCAATTACAGCCTGAAGTCTGGAACGCATAGACATAACCAGACGCTGGGTTTCATCCCTGGTGATGCTCTGCCAGGCCTTTACTGCAACTGTCTTCAGTTCCTGCTTGTTCTTGGGGCATTTTACCTTCAGTTTTGTCTTCAGCAAGTGAAATGCATGCTCAATCGGATTCAGGTCAAGTGATTGACTTGGCCATTGCATAACATTCCACTTCTTTCCCTTATAAAAAAACTCTTTGGTTGCTTTTGCAGTCTGCTTTGGGTCATTGTCCATCTGCACTGTGAAGCGGCGTCCAATGAGTTCTGAAGCATTTGGCTGAATATGAGCAGATAATATTGCCCAAAACACTTCAGAATTCATCCGGCTGCTTTTGTCAGCAGTCACATCATCAATAAATACAAGAGAACCAGTTCCATTGGCAGCCATACATGCCCACGCCATGACACTACCACCACCATGATCACTGATGAGGTGGTATGCTTAGGATCATGAGCAGTTCCTTCTCCATACTCTTCTCTTCCCATCACTCTGGTACAAGTTGATCTCGGTCTCATCTGTCCATAGGATGTTGTTCCAGAACTGTGAAGGCTTTTTTAGATGTCGTTTGGCAAACTCTAATCTGGCCTTCCTGTTTTTGAGGCTCACCAATGGTTTACATCTTGTGGTGAACCCTCTGTATTCACTCTGGTGAAGTCTTCTCTTGATTGGTGACTTTGACACACATACACCTACCTCCTGGAGAGTGTTCTTGATCTGGCCAACTGTTGTGAAGGGTGTTTTCTTCACCAGGGAAAGAATTCTTCGCTCATCCACCACAGTTGTTTTCCGTGGTCTTCTGGGTCTTTTGGTGTTGCTGAGCTCACCGGTGCGTTCCTTCTTTTTAAGAATGTTCCAAACAGTTGTTTTTTGGCCACGCCTAATGTTTTTGCTATCTCTCTGATGGGTTTGTTTTGTTTTTTCAGCCTAATGATGGCTTGCTTCACTGATAGTGACAGCTCTTTGGATCTCATCTTGAGAGTTGACAGCAACAGATTCCAAATGCAAATAGCACACTTGAAATGAACTCTGGACCTTTTATCTGCTCATTGTAATTGGGATAATGAGGGAATAACACACACCTGGCCATGGAACAGCTGAGAAGCCAATTGTCCATTACTTTTGGTCCCTTAACAAGTGGGAGGCACATATGCAAACTGTTGTAATTCCTACACCGTTCACCTGATTTGGATGTAAATACCCTCAAATTAAAGCTGACAGTCTGCAGTTAAAGCACATCTTGTTCATTTCATTTCAAATCCATTGTGGTGTTGTATAGAGCCAAAAATGTTAGAATTGTGTCGATGTCCCAATATTTATGGACCTGACTGTATGACAGAAAAAAGTATAACGATGATGGGAATCATATAAAAGTCTTATTTCACTGACTTTATGCACTGTTATGTAAGAGAGGGTGGAGGATTCTTGACTTCTGGTGGTAGGGGGGCTCTTGACATCTGATGTAAGGGGGGAGGGGGTGCTCCGGACATCTAGTCTTATAGATACAACTGGCCTTTTGAGGGCAGCCATAGGCTGATGATGCAGCCCCCTGATGAAATTGAGTTTGACACCCCTGCTGTACATTGTCACTGTACAAATGACACTGTCTGGGAAGAGGGTTAACATCCAGGTGGTGATCAAGGGGTTAATTGTGTGCCTAACAATGAGTAATCTGTGTGATATGTGCTGCTTTTACTTTACCATCTGGTTGTTGTTGCTCCCTGCTTTGCAGGGAGAAGAAACAGCCAGATCACTGTTCCCTGTACACAGAGTTTTGTATTTTGTAAACACAGAACGCTACGTGTGATTGGTCACAGACAATCAGCTGATTTCAGTCAAAATCATTGGCTGAAATCAGCCGCCAAATACACGCTGTGTCCAATCACAGCACGAGTTGGCAAGCGGCACACGCATGTGCACTCCAAACCCAGAAGACGGCTGATCACGCACATATACATGGCCGTGCCCGAACTTGCCGCCCTCACACAGTATATTAATTCAGTTGGGGCAGCACAGTGGCTAAATGGTTTGCATTTCCACCTGGCAGTACTAGGGTCGTTGGTTCAAAATCCCAACCACAGCCTGGAGTTTGCATGTTCTCCCTGTGCCTGTGTGGGTTTCCTCCGGGTACTCTGGTTTCCTCCCACACCCAAAAGACATGCTGGTAGGTTAACTGACTCCTTTCTAAATTGTCCCTAGTATGTGTATGTATGAATGTGAGTTAGGGACCTTAGATTGTACACCCCTTGAGGATTAGGAACCTTAGATTGTACACCCCTTGAGGATTAGGGACCTTAGATTGTACGCCCCTTGAGGATTAGGGACCTTAGATTGTACACCATGATGATGGGAATGTACAAATATATGTAACATGACAGCACTATATAAGTACTTGAAATAAATAATTGGAGCAAATTGGATTCATGCTTTGCTGGGTTTTTTGCCTTCCTCTGGATCAACTGTGGGTATACGATTATAACTTTTTTTTTTTTTTAATGGTTGAACTGGATGGACTTTTGTCTTTTTTCAGCCAGACTAACTATGTAATAATTAAGTTAGGATCGAAGCTATTTAATCATGAAGGCCTTCTGGCATTCCATGTGACTCTTTCCTCTCCTTCAGTTGCAGATGATGCTGATAAAATGCTGCGATATCTCCAACGAGGTGCGTCCATCGGAGGTGGCTGAGCCCTGGGTGGACTGTCTGCTGGAAGAGTACTTTCTGCAGGTCAGCTCAATCTTCTCTAGAGCACCAGGGACTGGGTTGTATCTGGGTGGGTGGATGTCACATCCTGACACTGTTCCATGCAAGGTCTGTGCCTCTAGTAAGATATAATCACATATTTCCTGAAAGGCAAACTATGGGGATCGAAATGGGAAAAAGTGAGATCCTTCAGGCTGAAGTTAAAGATTGCAAAAGTCTCAGGAACAGATCCCTCCTTTCCTGACATGGCCATACAATGGAAACCTGGATTTCCCAAAAGCCTAGTAAATTACCACTTCCATGATACAGCAGATATTTTCAGGTCACTCACAAAAGATGAAGCTTCCCCTACAACAGGGGTCTCCAAACTATGGCCCTCCAGGTGTTGAGGAACTGCAAAGTCCCATGAGGCCTTGCAAGACTTCACAGACAGTCCAGGCAGAAGATGGGACCCAGAGGCAGAGGCATAGGCGGTCCTATCGGAAGTGGGACTTGTATTACTTCAACAGCTGGATTGTCATAGTATGGAGACCCCTGACCTAGAACCTCTGCATTTCAGCAAACCACCTCCAAACCAACTCGCAGGTGCTCACTCCTCCAGTGTCTGTTCCTCCCACACATCATTCATTCTACAGCCGCACACCACTTCCAAATCAACCTTATTGGTCAGCACAGACACTGCACCCAGGATACTCCCACCAACGCGTTTCGCCCCATACTGAAGCTTAATCATATGTTAGTGGGAAGATTCTTGGTGGAGTATTTGGGCTTGTTTTGAACAATAAAATTGATTTTATCTTTTGGAAGTGGTATACAGCTCCAGAGCTTTGATGAAATATATTTCCAGGTACAGCATATTGGTTCATTCTCTGCTAGGTAGCTCCCGAAGCTTTTTGTTTAAATTGTGGCAAGTTTCTGTAATTGTGATCTTGGCCTCACCTCCTCCTTTACTTACTAGGGCCAGTGAGGATGCTGATGATGGTTCTGGTCCAATAGTCAGGGGTTTTTTTTCTCTCAGAGAATAGGTGTATAAACTCCCCCCTTCCAGGTATCCCCTTGTCTCTCGCCCCCTACCCATCTATGAGCGCCATCCTTTGGTTGCACCACCTACCAGTACTACACCCCTTTTAGTGAATACAGAACCAAGTATCATTTTGCGGTGTCAAAAATTCTGTATAGAATTTGCTAAAGTTACCATAAAAAGCAGTAAAATAGATCCCCTTTTGCCAGCAACAAAAGCACTCCCAGGAACAAAACCACCCCCAGCAACAATAGCCCCACTCCATCAACAATAGATCTCCCAGCAGCCAGCAACAGCAGACCCCTCCCTCAACAGTAGATTCACCCAGCAACAATTGACCCTTCAGCAACTATTGACCCATCACCCATTGGGAGATCCCCCCCAGCAACAATAGATCCCCCAACAGCCAGCATCAATAGACCCTCCAGCACACCCCAGCACCCCTTGCCATTACATACATTCAGTGCTGAACTTGGTTCCCCCGCTTTCCCACTTAAAAAAGCCCTGGGCAGGAATAGGTGGTGTCAGGTTTTTGATCATGGGGTTTTGGTATCCCAGAACACCATAATAGATAACTGAACTGCTGTCCATGGAAGTTGTGGTTTACTGACATTGCAGAGACTCCAGGTACACGTTAAAATTGTAGACTTTACTATCACCCTGATCCTGACTTTATTACCAAGTTAGTTGCGTGGTTGTTCCAAGTCAGTGACTCACCTGTAAGTACTGAGGATTGGGATGACAGAACACCTCTTCTATTCCTAGTCCACTCAGTTGGCCTCCATGACTCTGCTCTCTCCTGGTTCTCCTCGTACCTTTCTCAGCGCACTTTCAGTGTCACATACAACTCCTTCTCCTCTGCTCCTCTCCCTCTTTTCATTGGGGTACCCCAAGGCTCCATCCTTGGGCCCCTCCTTTTCTCTCTCTACACATCCTCCCTGGGCCAACTGATAACCTCCCATGGCTTCCAATACACCTCTATGCTGACAACATCCAGATCTATCTCTCCACTCCCCAGATCACCCCCTCAATCTTCTCACGTATGACAAATCTACTAAGCGACATATCAGCATGGATGTCACACCACTACCTTAAACTCAATCTTACTAAAACTGAGCTGTAATATTTCCTCCCCCCCGATCTCCCACTCACAACTTTGCCATTAAGATCAACAGCACAACCATTGGTCCTTACCCTCATGCCAGGGTGCTAGGCGTAATCCTAGACTCTGACCTCTCCTTCAGGCCCCACATCCAATCACTGGCTAAATCCTGCCATCTCAACCTCAGCAACATTTTCAAAATCCGCCCCTTTCTGACCAATGACACCACAAAACAACGTATCCATGCCTTGGTTATATCCCGCCTTGATTACTGCAACTCCCTCCTCACTGGCCTACTGTTACACAGGTTATCCCCCCTTCAGTCTATTATGAATGCCTCTGCTAGACTCATACACCTTACCAACCAATCAGCGTCTGCTGCCCCTCTCTGCCAATCCCTTCACTGGCCTCCACTAACCCAACGTATAAAATTCAAAATACTAACCACAGCTTACAAAGCCATCCACAACTCTGCCCCTAGCTACACCACCAACCTCATCCGCAGATATTGTCCAAATTGCCTGCTCCGCTCCTCCCAAGACATCTTGCTCTCTAGCTCCCTCATCACCGCCTCCCACATTCACCTCCAGGACTTCTCCAGTGCCTCTCCCATCCTCTGGAATCTCCTACCCCAGTATGTCCGGTCGGCCCCCACCCTGTCTGCCTTTAGGCGATCTTTGAAAACTCACTTATTCACGGATGCCTACCCCACCTCCACCTCCACCTAAGAACTGTACTTGAGCCACCTCCTTCAGAACATCGCCTACAGCTATCACCTTTTGTACCACCTCCCCCTTCCTTTAGATTGTGAGCTCCACAAGCCGGGCCCATCAAATAATATATGCTGCTCAAGGTCTGCTTCCCTTTATTTTCCCAATTGCCTCCATGAATCCTTTTGTTTCATGACCTGATGTACACAGCTCTATCTCCTCACCCATCACATAACTGGAAGCCAGTGAGGTTGATTTACTAAAGACAAATAGACTGCGCACTTTTGCATGTGCACTTGCACTCTACAAGGGCTTAGTAAGTGAGGGGAAGGTCTGCTGATTTCCATCGTCCAAGCATGTGCAAACAAAAATATTGGGTTTTTTTGTTAATTTTCCTTGCATATGATTGGGTACGAAGCTTCACCTCATTTACTGAACTCTGGGGCAAAGTGCAACTGCACCAGCAAAGTGCACAGTCTATTTGTCCTTAGTAAATGAACCCCAGTGTCTCCCACAAGACCAGTGCACACTTCTTTTTACACTCTGTGTACCCAAACCGCTCACATATTCTGGTCTTCACTGGAAGCTTCCATTAGCCCAGGAACAAGGCCACTCACTGCCCCCCTCCAAAATGACCCCGGGTACAGCAGAGTTGGTTGTATTTTAGGCACAATTAGTTAATACGAGGCACCCAGTCATCAGACGGTCCATCGAATTCAGAATCAGTAGTATGATATGTATTTTACAGAGCGATCGGGAGAAGTTGGAGGGTCTTCCAGTCACACCATTTATGGACCGAGATACAGTCACGAAACCCAAAGCCCAGATTGGATTCATCAAGTTTGTGTTGCTCCCCATGTTTGAGACGGTCGTGAAGGTATGAGAGAAATGTAGTGATTGGATTAGGTGGATAAAATAGACAGGCTGCTTTTATATGGTTGGCTAAATCAGTGTTTGTCAACCAGCGCACCCGGGGGGCCACGAGCACGGGATGCCAGTTTGCCCTGGATTAGCATCTTGAGTTGCCATGGTGTGGGCAGGCTGGCTGTCGTTGGTCATTATGATGCTGGAGGCTGGCCCACCTGCACCATGGCAACTGATGATGCTAATCCAGGGTTGTAAGTTCACCTCCTCCAGACCTGCACCATCTGCTGCCCTCTGCCTGGAGCCAAAGGTAGGGCTCTAATGTTAAAAGGGGACTCTGCAATTAGGGGGTTCTGTGATGGGGGCACTGTGTGATTGGGGCGCTCTCTAATGGGGCACTATGTGATTGGGGGGCTCTGTGATGGGGCACTGTGTGAATGGGGGGCTCTGTGATGGGAGCACTGTGCGATTGAGGGGGAACTGTGATGGAGCACTGTGTGATTTGGGGGCTCTGTGATTGGGCACTGTGTGATTGGAGGGCTCTGTGATGGGGGCACTGTGCGATTGAGGGGGAACTGTGATGGGGCACTGTGTGACTCTGCAGAGTGTAATTTCAGCTCTCCACCTCTCCCCTGCTTTCTGAACTCTCAAACAAGCTTTAAAATTGAGAACTGTGAATGAATGTAGAGAGGCTGAAGATAAACAGGTACAACTTATGTAAAAGGATTTGTTTCATCTCTGTGTATTACCTGATGTGTATTACCTGATGCCAGTGACTTCACTGGTATATGGAGGGGTTTACAACTACTTTAGTCCTCATGCACAGTGGGGGGGAGTTTTGATAATGCTGGTAACGTTAGCTGTGTAATGTCACGTTAAAAATGTGAGGTTTTCACCTTTTTTTTAGCATTTTTGCATTAGCGTTCAGCGGCATTTTGCCGCACTTAGCGGCGTTTTCCCACGTTTGCGGTTTTTTTAGCGTTTTTTATTTACCAAAATGAAAACTTTTTTTTGTGGTAAAAAAAAGTCCAAAAATGCTGGTTTGCAGCGTTTTACCGAGTTTTGCAGCATTTTTCAGTGTCAGAGTGTTTTTACAGCCAAAAAACTCCTCTAGAAACCCACTAATCTTGTGTTTTTTTTTTTTCCCATCCAAAAAACGTCCATGCCAAAAAACGTTGAGTCCACTCTATGTGTGTATGGACACATAGGAGAACATGCTGGGGGTTTATTGGCTGTAGAAAAAAGCGTCAAAAGCCAAAAACAGCCGCTGTAAAAACGTCCCGTGTGCATGAGGACTAAGGCTTAGATTTAGAGGTTGAGACTCTAATGAAAGGACAAGCGGGCAGCCCACCTGCTGAAATATATACCTCCATCCTCGAACAAGCGAACTCCACTGTATGACCCATCCTGCTCATGGCGCAGCCCCGTTCTTTCCTGTTGGGAGTTGCACTTACGGCATCCTTTAGTGGTTCTGCAAAGTATGAATAGGGCAGTGGCATAGGTGCTCAGGATGAAAATGACCAATTGGGGGTGCTTTCTGATGCAAGGCTGTGCAGCTCTGGGCAGGACCATATGGCTACTACTGCTGGATTGAGGACAAAGGTAAGTATTTCCTCAGGTGGGCTGCATTCTGGGCAGTTGGGACATGCCTTAAAGGACAACTTGTACATAAGCAGTTGTTCTTTACCCCCGGTTCACATCTATGCGGCCGTGCGGGCCGCATTTTGCACGGACACGAGAGTCCATTCATTTGAATAGACTCCAGTGCCCATGACATGCAGGAAAAGAAGTCACTACACTTCTTTTGAAAATGCAGCCCGCATGGGAACCTCGGTTCCCAGTATGGTTGTGTTTTCCAATGCGGGCGGTGTGCCATTAGAATTAATGGCACCCGCCCGCAAGTCCGCATTTCTCTGTGCGGGTGGTGGATTTTCGTGTGGAACCGCAGCAGCACCACCCGCACAGATGTGAGCCTAATGTCAAAGAAAAAACGTTTATCACATTTCCTGAAATTAATTATTACTGCAGTGTTTACCTTCAAGCTATTTTTTGATGCAACACATAATTAAATGTTTGCCGTGCCATATTTTTATTGTAATATTAAATATATAGATTTGTACATTAACCACCAGAGGGAGCTCTGTACTTGACTCTGCCTCATTAAACACTCCTCTCTATACACACTACATATTGGTCTTTTTTTTTGTCAGCTCTTCCCACAGATAGAGGAGGTGATGGTGCGCCCTCTGCAGGAAGCCAGGGATCACTACGAGGAGCTCAAGCAGCTGGAGGAAGCAATGGCAGAAGTGAGTATTTCATTGTATGATCAACATACTTTTTACGTGGAATGGAAATGTAGTTCCATAAGGTTTTATGTAAAGTACACGCCTCAGGGGAGAAATATTGGAGGAGGCTGCACTGCTGAGTTCCTGAAAATACAAAGTGCCTGGCCTCGGTACTTTGAGTCACAGACCCAGGACACGTATGCAGCAAATAAAAGTACAAAGTCGTGATCTCTATACTTGTTCCTGGTCTGTGGCTTGGATAGCACTAAGGCCATTGTCTGGGAATGGCAGCCAGGCAATTGTGTGCAGAAGAGGCTAGCAGGGACAACCTTCATATATCCCAATGATACTTGGAAACTTGATTTTTCACTGTTTCCTCAAAGATGATACACTGCAAGGTCCAGGGGCGGACTGACAACTCATTGGGTCCCTGGGCAATAGGGGATCATGGGGCCCCTGTGTCCTTGCCCAAACTCAAAAAAGGCTATGAAAAAGATACCAGGGGCATCTCATGGGGCCCCCTATTGACCCCGGGCCCTCGGGCAGTGCCCGAGTTTCCAAATGGTCAGTCCGCCCCTGGCAAGGTCTTATTCAACTACTTAAAGCAGATCTTCACTCCTTCTTCCCCTTCCGAGGATATATATTTTTTTTGCTTTTTAAGTTGTTTTTTTTTTATGGTCCCACCCAACTGCCCATGTCCCCGCTACTGCAGCCTCTTGGTATATCCCCGTTACATACTCCAGGAGGCTACAAATGTTGGAGCTCACATCGGTCGATGGGAGGAGCTGGCATGTGTCATCATGGACCTAAACTAAGAAAAGGTTGCTGGCTCACCAAGACTGAGGAGGACCAAGATGGTGTTGCAGGACCAAGGATGTGTGACGCCTGAGCAATGGATCACAACAGTAAAACACTGTATCCACTGGGCAGGTAAGTATGTGGATGAGGACAATGCTGCCTAACAGGTAAGAGAGGGTTAAAATGAAAAAAAAAATGCAGGGGGTGAAGTTCCTTTTAAAGCACCAGATGTGTTTTACAGCTTTACCTCTACAGTCCCAGCCTTTTGAGGGTCTAGTTTTGGTGGCGTGGAGGGTTGGTTGGCTTGGAACCACCAGCAGTCACTCACCTGGCCCAGGTCCAGTGTCTTGTCCTTCGGCTGGGGGCTGGTTCTTCTGATCAGGCCAAAACGCCCACAATGGCTAATCTTCCCCTTCAGAACAAACCATGTGACCTTCTGAGGCTCTAGTTTTTGTAGCTGTGGAGGTCTGGTTGGCTTGCGACTACAAGCTGTCACTTTCCTGGCCCAAGTCCAGTGCATTGTCCTCTGGCCACATCAGAAGGCTCACACTCCACCCTAAGAGCCCACAATGGCTAATCTCCCTCTCCGGCACAGGCCATGTGACCTTCTGAGGCTGTAGTTTTTGCATCCATTGAAGGTTGGTTGATTTGGAACTACCAGCTGTCACTTTCTTGGCCCAGGTCCAGTGCCTTGTCCTCAGGGTGGAGTTTGAGCCTTCTGATGTGGTCAAAAAGCCCACAATGGCTAATCTTCCCCTTCACCATAGGCCATGTGGTCTTCTGAAGATGTAGTTTTTGTGGCCATGGGAGGTTGGTTGACTTGGAACTACCAGCTATCACTTACTTGGCCCAGGTCCAATGCCTTGTCCTCTGGCTGGAGTTTGAGCCTTCTGATGTGGTCAAAGAGCCCACAATGGCTAATCTTCCCCTTCAGCACAGACCATGTGACCTTCTGAGGCTGTTGTTTTCGTGAGCATGGAGGGTTAGTTGGCTTGGAACTGCCAACTGTCACTTACCTTGCCCATATCCAATGCCTTGTTCTCTGGCTGGAATGTGAGCCTTCTGATCAGGCCAAAGAGCCCGCAATGGCTAATCTTCCCTTTCAGCACAGACCATGTGACCAGTTTATTTGTCTTTTTGTATATATCATATATTTGGAGCTTTTTTTCTCCAGGAGAGGTAATGATTTCAGCCCTTCCTTTTCTCTTTATTTATCCCAAAAGTCTCCATACATAGGAAAAATTAACAAACTCATCTTTTATGTATTATTTGTATTATTTATGTACCTATACATAGGTACATAAATAGGTATATCATTTTGTAATGAATATTTTGTAAATAAAGGTACATTTAGCTACAACTTCTCATTTTCCTGATGTATGGCAGCTTTTGGGACACCCCATATATTAATATTCGAGTACAGATCCACTTAAATGCCCAAAGCAATTTTCATGCCTTTCAAACGCAACACTTTCCAAACACACAGGTGTTTTCGGAACATTTCAATCTTTTTTTTAATTTTTTACTGCCATATAATACGAAAGTTATAAACTCGTGTTTTTATTGATGTCTGTGCCTCCGTTATAGAGATTTCCCCTCACTTCCTGTTCATGGTGTCACCAGACAGCAGCTTGAGCTTCTAATCCATTTTTGCTAAATCTAAAACTAAAAAGTACATGTTTTAAAAAAAGAAAAAAAAAAGGGTAAAAAAAGGTGATGAGGAGGCAATGAACCAATCGCCAGCTTTATGGCAGCAGGTGTATGAGCTCTGGTGATCAGGGCAACCAGGTGAGGATCCAGCGACTGAAATAAAAGGGGTCAGCTGGCCACGGGTGCCTGGGGGATAGGTTTCCTGTTGCGGTTTTAATCTAGTGCATTGGCAGAAAGGAACTCCTATTCTGTCTTTCCATAGAAGTTCAGCTGCCTTGCTTTTTTTTCTTTTTTATAAAACTAACACCAGATGGCACCATTTGCTTTGTTTTCACACTGTTATGTGCACCTCACGCCACGCTCATCAACAAAATCCTAGATTGACTCCTTGACAACCAGGGAGCATATACCTGGGAAGTCTCTAGATTGATTCCTGGACAACCAGGGTGCACATACATGGGAAGTCTCTAGATCGACTCCTGGACAACCAGGGATCATATACGTGGGAAGTCTCCAGATCGACTCCTGGACAACCAGGGTGCATACACGTGGGAAGTCTCCAGATCGACTCCTGGACAACCAGGGTGCATACACGTGGGAAGTCTCCAGATCGACTCCTGGACAACCAGGGTGCATACACGTGGGAAGTCTCTAGATCAACTCCTGGACAATCAGGGAGCATATACATGGGAAGTCTCTCGATCGACTGCTGGACAACCAGGGTGCACATACATGGGAAGTCTCTAGATCAACCCCTGGACAACCAGGGTGCACATACATAGGTAGTCTATAGATTGACTTTTGAACAACCAGGGTGCACACACATGGGAAGTCTCTAGATCGACTCCTGGACAACCAGGGAGCACATACATGGGAAGTCTCTAGATCGACTCCTGGACAACCAGGGAGCATATACGTGGGAAGTCTCTAGATCGACTCCTGGACAACCAGAGTGCACACACATGGGAAGTCTCTAGATCGACTCCTGGACAACCAGGGTGCACATACATGGGAAGTCTCTAGATCGACTCCTGGACAACCAGGGAGCATATACGTGGGAAGTCTCTAGATCGACTCCTGGACAACCAGGGATCATATACGTGGGAAGTCTCTAGATCGACTCCTGGACAACCAGGGAGCATATACGTGGGAAGTCTCTAGATCAGGGGTGGGCAAACTTTTTGACTTGAGGGCCGCAATGGGTTCATATATTGGACCCGGGGGCCGGCCCAAGAGTAGATGAATGATGTGTATGTGTCATGCATAGTAAGTATAGTAATATTCCCCCATAGTAAGCATAGTAATTCATCCCCCATAGTAATTCATCCCCCATATAGTAATTCATCCCCCATAGTAATTCATCCCCCATATAGTAATTCATCCCCCATAGTAATTCATCCCCCATATAGTAAGTCATCCCCCATAGTAATTCTCCCCCATATAGTAATTCATCCCCCATAGTAATTCATCCCCCATAGTAATTCATCCCCCATATAGTAATTCATGCCCCATAGTAATTCCCCCATATAGTAATTCATCCCCCATATAGTAATTCATCCCCCATAGTAATTCATCCCCCATATAGTAATTCATCCCCCATAGTAATTCCCCCATATAGTAATTCATCCCCCATATAGTAATTCATCCCCCATATAGTAATTCATCCACCATAGTAATTCATCCCCCATAGTAATTCATCCCCCATAGTAATTCATTCACTTACCTTTGCTCCGCGCGTTCCTCTCGCCGTGTTCCCGCGCCGTTCCGGTCTTCAGGGCGGACTGTGAGAGGAGCCTAGCTCCCCTCACGTTCGTCACGCTGCCCCGCCTACACACATCCTGACAGCATCACGCTCCACGGGCCGGATTAAAAGGTCTGCCGGGCCGTATACGGCCCGCGGGCCGTAGTTTGCCCATTGCTGCTCTAGATCGACTGCTGGACAACAAGGGAGCATATACGTGGGAAGATTTCTCATTAAAGAAAACCTGTCACAAAGAAATGATATCACTTAGGGCAGGGGTGGGCAACTGTGGCTCTCCAGCTGTTGCAGAACTACAAGTCCCATGAGGCATTGCAAAACTGACAGTTACAAGCATGACTCCCAAAGGCAGAGGCATTATGGGACTTGTAGTTCACCAACAGCTGGAGGGCCACAGTTGCCTATGTGATATAACATTTTAGTAAAAAAAAATAAATGTGTTAATAAAGTTATACCCAAGCACTAGGGAACCCCCCCCCCCCAAATAAATTTTGAGCCCACCGCCACCTACACACCACACCAATGTAAACACGCCCACTTGCGCTAGATGTTACATATCACCGCGCCAGGGTCAGACTGACCATTTGGGAACAGGGCCCGGGGTCAGTAGAGGGCCCCATGAGATGCCCCTGGTACCTTTCATAGGCTTTTTTTGGGTGTAGTTTGAGTGTGGGTGAGGACACAGGGGCTCCATGATCCCGGGGGCCCCATGAGTTGTCAGTCCGCCCCTGCACCGCGCACATTGCAGTGAGCTGGAACAGATCACATTTTTGGTTTTGGGTTTCAATACCACTTTAAGGATTCTCCGTGAGGAGTTCCTCGGGAACTCATTCAGTAATCTTTCAGTACATACTGGAAAACAAGCGTAGCTGACCGCCGAACGCACTCATGAAACCAGCGGGGGGCGCGATAGAACTTCGACCATCTTCACAGCGAATGCTTTTTTATTTATAAATGGGCTCTGAAGATTTAGCGTTCTGCGCGGTAATGCGGCGCTCACATACAGGTAATCGAGCGTGAA